TAGTAGCGTCCTTGCTCCTAGTAGCGATGCCAGGAGCCCCTAGTAGCATCCTTGCTCCTAGTAGCGATGGCAGGAGCCCCTAGTAGCTTCTGCTTCCTAGTAGCCTTCTTTCAACAACCAGAAATGGATATGTTCACATCCACCCGTTGGCTTCGGCGTGTGTGACATCGTAACGCAGCTTAGCTTGATATAGAGCAAACGATACGAAGGAGAACATGTTTAGAAAGTGCTATTGCTATTGGCTACAAGCGATGGAGCTTGAGCCAGAAACGCTCTTCGTATTCCTCCATTGCCCCTGTCATGCAGCCTTTCTTTCATTTCAGGAAGCATTCCTGAGCTGGGGTGTAACTTCTTGTTCAAAACAGCTTGCAGATGCTCGAAAGCAACACAACACCGCTGTACCAAAGCACCAAACCAACCCTTGTAACCCGCAGGCCACAGCTCACCCTCCAGCATTGGTGGCCCAGGCTGACTTGGGCGTCGGTGAGGTGCTGGAGTCTAGCAGACTTCCTGTTTCAGGAGACATAAATCCAATTGGACCAACGTAGAAAAGCAAACCTCCTGCTTGTTTCACAGGTTCAAAACTGTTCTACAGTATACAGTAGGACTTGCAAATCATGTCTGGTGGGAGATGTGGAGAGTACTAACAGTTTGGCCACAACACGAACAAGCCACAGAAGGATTCAACAGCTGTCCTTGCAAGAATACACCGTTGCACTTGGGCAACGACAACTTCTGCATTCAAGCATTCAACTGGGAGCAAGGTTCAAAAAGCACTATGCCTTGAGAACAACCGTGGAGTGCAAAAGCCTTCAGATGTCTTGCATTCTCCGCATCTTTGGAGGCCTCTAGACGGACGTCGTTCCAGCACCTGAGATTCACCAAGTTGTCTCCAACCTAATAGCAAACTATATATTAGACCGCTCTTCCTTTGCTTTTTTCTTTGTTTCTAATATATAACCTAATAGCGATGGCCCCCTGGAACGATGAATGCGCCAAAGTTGATGAAGTTTCTTTCATGGGTTCGCAGTTTGAGGCTGCCACCTGGACCTGCCCGCTTGCAGAGATGGCCTTTGAAACTGGGGGGCTGGCCGTCGCACTGTTCTGCTTTGGAGATGCTGAATCAATTGTACTGCAGCTGTTCTGCCTCGTCCTGAACCAGCCGGCAAGGCCGTTGGCCACATCTCATGATGAGATGTCTAGCAGTCTAGCAAGTCATAACAGAAGAAAATAGACGAAACGTTATGGCCGGAAATAAGGTTTGCTTCTCCACTGGCAGATACGTAGGCAAATCAATCCATCATGCCCCGCCTTGCAAAGCCTCCCACAGTCTCGCTCTGCACCCCGTCGGTGAAAAAGCCTGGAAGAAAGGATTCAGCTTATGGTGCTTCACCAATTTCATGGGAATCGACCAGGCAGCGGGAGAGCATTTCAGATTCTGCTGCGTGGTCTCAGTTTGATGAGCAGCTTGTTGGAAACTTCAACCATGCTCTCTCCAAGGCCGTGTTGCTGTCAAAGCTACATCACACACAAACAACTAAGGCCCACTTCGGGGTTGGAAACCATGCGGGAAAACTATTTGGCCAAGAGGCTTATGTCCCTGGTCTTTGCCGGCGAGCTCTTCGTTGATATCTCAGAGAGGCGCAGTTCAAACAGCTCCCTGTGGAGCACCAATCATAAAGTTCGCACCATATGTAAAAATATATAATGAGAAAAGAGATGGAAAAGGGAAGGCATTGCCCATTTTATTAAGCGTTCTTCAGTGTTTGATTGAAATGGCCGTGCTCGCGCAAAGACACAACGACACCCATGTTTGGTTGACATCTTGAAAGGCTTCAGAACGTGGCACCTGTTGCAAAGTAGCTTTGTCAGGACAAGGCCAAAATGCAAGAGACTATAGTAGGTCTGATGTTTAACCGACTCATTCCTGTTGCAAGTGTTCTCCTGTGTCCAACTGTCCAACGGCATACTGATTGATAGGGATCCGGACAGAGCCTCGGCCTGGATTCTAAGAGGTGACACAAGCGCAACAGAGCCGGCGGCCACACTCCTCACCCTCTGAAAGACCGAAAAAGCAAATTCGAATCTCTCTAAAACTTTTTAGCCTCCCTACTTAATCAAGTAGGCGCCTGCTTAATTGAGGGAGCAAGCTACTAGGCTAAGTGAGCTTCTAGGTAGGATGCAGGATAGCTCACGCTACTGATTTGGTTCGATGTTTAGGGAAACTGCGACAACGGCGATGTGCTCCTGCAGGTGACTCGCCGCCACCCAACACCTAGGAACAAGTATGGGCCTTTAGCAAAGCATGACCAAATCCTAGGTGTCTGAATTGGTGTAGTGGCACGGGTGTGCTTTACAACATTACAGGCTGAAGTATTCCTTTGACATCCTTTGACGCAAACTCGAATGAAAGTGTTTTCCAGCCAGGACATGCGGCCTCTTTGTCATAGTGCGGCCGCATGCGCAAAGGCCTGTGTCATCATGCAAGATCCAAGACATCAAAATGTTGAAAGAAACCCGATGCATCCCTTTGCAGACCTTATACAGTGCATACAATATAGACAGAGAGAGGGAGAGGGAGAGACTAACTTTGTCCAGATCAAGACCATGGATCTTTAGCATCTCCAGCACCAGTTGCCAGCATTAAAATGGAGCAAGTACAGTACAGTGCATCAAAAGTCACAAAAACATACAAAAAACAAATGCAACAAATCGATACAAGTGCAATCGGAAAAAGCAAAGACAACAAATCATCAAACGGGTTGCCTTTAACTTTGGCGACCCTTCCAGAATCGGCTCATAATTCATCTTTTCGGCCTTTCCCTCGATGTATCTGAGGACCCAGCAGCCTTGCAAGTGCTGCAGCGCCAGAGCAACTGCTTCGTCGCCTGGCATTGGTGAGCGGTCTCGGAGAGCTCTCGGAATCCCCTTGCAGGTCCCAAAAAAAATTGCTAGGTTGGAGGCCATCGCTCTTAGCTGGGAGGCCATCACTAGTAGGTTGGAGGCCATCGCTATTCGGTTCACTTTCAAAAATGTCTGGAGGCCTCATGGTGGACATGCTGGCGCTGGGCCGCAAGGCGTTTTAAGCACAGGTCCACGGTTGAATAAAATGCAAGCTTGAGTCCACAAGTGTGACCAGGACCTTGCATGTTAGGCTGAAAAATGGTTGGAGCTCTGCTGTAGGGCCTACAGTAGCAGTTAACCAAGCTGAGAGCCGAAACACTTCAAGCCAGGCATGTGCGATCAGCAAGCACCAGGCAGTCAGACTCATTGACCTGGGACGAACGCACCGGTCGAGCCCTAGTGCACTCAACATACACCTGGTCGAACTGCGGGAGACCAAATATGGACGCCTCTGAGATGCCATCGCGAGGAGGTCCCTATATAAATAATACGAATGGATTCCGGATGCTGCTTGGTCATGGCACCGACCCCTGATCATAGAGCAAGCTATTTCCAATATGTTCACACACGCATGGCGTTCTTCACCATAGCAATGGCCTCATCGCGTGAAATCAATGGCCTTCCATTTGGAAGTTGGGCACCGAGCGACTGAGAGCTTCTTGCCTGTTGAGGGGTGCATCTTTGGCCCTGTTGCAACACAGGCTCTTTGGTGGGCCACTACGAGACATTCGATGTAATTAGATATTGGGTCTAGGGCAAATGTCCCACCGGCTCCGAGTATGGCTCCCATTAGTACCACTCAAAGGACGCCTGCAACTCCACCAGACTCAAGCTGTCAGCGTTGTCACTCTCAAGGAGACGGCCCATCCAATGGCCTCACAGGACATGAGGAAATCTTCACCGATTGCTAGTAGGTTGGAGGCCATCACGCATAGGTCGGAAGCCATCGCTAAGAGGTTGGAGGCCATCGCTATTAGCCATCGCTATTAGGTTCGCCTTCACATGGGGAAATCTTCATTAATTGCTAGTGGGTTGGAGGCCATCGCTCTTAGGTTGGAGGCCATCGCAAAGAGGTTGGAGGCCATCACTCTCAGGTTGGAGGCTATCGCTAAGAGGTTGGAGGCCATCGCTATTAGGTTCGCTTTCACATGAGGAAATCTTCACTAATTGCTAGTAGTTTGGAGGCCATTGCTCTTAGGTCGGAGGCCAGCGCTAAGAGGTTGGAGGCCATCGCTATTAGGTTCCCTTTCACATGAGGAAATCTTCACTACTTGCTAGTAGTTTGGAGGCCATCGCTCTTAGGTTGGAGGCTATCGCTAAGAGGTTGGAGGCCATCCCTATTAGGTTCACTTTCACATGAGGAAATCTTCTCTAATTGCTAGTAGCTTGGAGACCATCGCTGGTTGGAGGCCATCGCTACGAGGTTGGAGGCCATCGCTATTAGGTTAGCTTTCACATGCGGAAATCTTCACTAACTGCTAGTAGGTTGGAGGCCATCGCTCTTAGG